AGTAAACTGGAGATCTTGTACAAAGGTTTTTTCAGATCAGGGCAGCGAATATCATTTGAGGGGTTTCATTTGTATTTAATTGGCTGATTTAAAAATAAATAAATAGATAAATAAATACAATTTTTAGAGGGTATTTAGCAGTAATGAGAAGAAGGTATGCCAGGAATATATAAGCACCGTTTCTGCCTGAACTCATTCAGTAGCTACCAGGTATAGAGTTTGTGGATTTTATATCATCTAGTATTTGTTTAAACTTTCTAATATCAGATGACTAAATATAAAAAAAATTAAATAAAACCACTTGTTTTTGGATCCACAAACTACAGCGTGAACCCTGAGTTTACAATAATTATAATCTGTCTTATGGACAAAAACTGATGTAAACTGTCTTAGTTATGGGTGGCAGATAGCACAATTACCTCCAAGGAACAGGTAGGTCCTGCGTTTGGCGTAGAGGGCGCTGAGAGTGAAGCAGATGAAAATCACAGAGGTTCCCATGAAGGCAGTCACAATGATACTGAGGAGAAGAATACCAGGACAAATAAATAATATGTTCTTTATTGACTCTTTGGTTTGCTTAGAGCTGCATAAAGAGGTTCAGATTTATGTGACTAACTTTCACTCACTGAGCTGTTAGCAGACAAAGTTTAATCTGTCACTTACCTCGGATTGACAGAGATGACAAAGTCCAGTGTGGGTCCAAGGCCAACACCTGGTGAGTAAACACTGTGTTAGGCTTTTGCATAATTACAGACCATTCACCTCTGAGCACACAAACAGTAACACATTGTGAACTTACCTGTGAGGAAGGCAAATCCTGCGAGGATAGCCAGTCTCTTCTTCTCTGTCTCAGGGTTGTGGGGGGTCATGGCAAGCCAGAACATCAACCCCAGGGATCCAAGCACAGACAGCACACCACCCTAAAAAACAGGGGTACAGGGTAAACACAGGTACCAGTACTGTGGCCAAGACAATACTCACATTATTTTAAAAAAGCTACAAGGTGTTAATAAACTACTTATATAAAAATTCAGATTCAAATTACAGACATGTACTTTGACCCATTGTACGAGCATTATCTGAAATGCACCTGCAGAGTTGTGATGCGCAATAAATGCTTCTGTTATGGCCATTTGCTCTATGGTGTCTCTTCATGTGTGCATGATTTTCTTTCATGGTTATTGCCAGTGTCTGTGAAGGTTCTCAGTCATCCAGGTCATCGTAGTCAAAGGAGCTTGCAAAGAAAAGCGTCTGGACTTCTTTATTGCCAGTGGTTTTAAATGTCTGTGCTCCTTCCAATTTGTCACCTACGTCTTTCAGTCTTTACGTCCAAGTCTTGCTACCAAATAACTACAGAGACACTTACCTCTTTTAATTTAGATTTGACTTTCGACTCCCAGTAATAACTTTTTAAATTGGCTGTCCCAATTAACTTAAATAGTGGCTTAAAAGCCCTGCTCAGACTTAATCTAAGATGGCTGATGAATGGTGAGACTCCCCCCCCCCCCCATTTTCTTCTAAAAGCTGTTGTTGTTATCACATCAAACATGGGATAGAGGTGACTAAGCTTCAAAGTATGTGCTGAGTGGCTTAGTGGTGATAATGCTCACTGTAGATGACCATCGATGACCTTCTATACTTCACAAAGAGGAAAAAAAAAAACAAAAAACCCCACAACAACAAAAAACAAATACAACCAAGGTTTCTCACAGTATTTAAACCTTAAGGGGAGAAAAAGATCTGTTAGACAGTAAATACCACCTGTTGTTTACACCATCATCTACAGCAGCACATGATGGTGTAAACAACCATAATCTGCTACCGTGAGAATAAGGTCAGGATCAAGGTTATTATAGTTAAATCAAGCTTTAAGAAGTATTTTAGGTAACTGAACTGGAATAAAAACCTGATAAAAAAAACAAACAAAGACTATTATGTTCTTACTGACTTAATAAAACAAATATAAAGGAAATTTCTTTAGTCTTAGTATTTGTCACTTTGAGAAGCCTTGTCTACCTATTGAGACTTTTAAAATGTGATCTGTTTGTCCTGTTTTATTCATTCTGAAGCTATAAAATCTTCCCCTTGACAAACACAATCGAAAGTAAAACTTTTCGAACATTAAAAACAAAACCGAAACTGTCAAACTTACTCTGGAAACTACCTGAATTTCAAATGTAATGGAAAAAAAAACAAAAAACAAACCAAATCAAAACAAAGAAAGAGCAGAATCGTATTAGTAGAAAACTACATCTCAAACAAGCCACCTCAGCAGCAGACTTGCTGAAGAAAAGCTGTCAGTATTTGGTGTTATTCTGTCCAGTAAAAACACTACACAACACAAGTGAGTACATCTCTGTGCAATAATCAGTTAAATGACAGACTGGTTGAAACTGCATCAAAACTTGGGAAGTTACTTGTAAAGTTAAATGAATAATCAAAAACAAAGATGTCATGCTCAACATGTCTGGTATGTTAGTTGTACATATTGTAGTTGTGTACTGTGACTTGGAGGGCATAAAAATATGTGGAACAACCAGTAATGTGGGCTATTCTTGGTCATGCTGTGGAGAGAAGACATAATAGCGAAAGAACTTTTTCGCGAAGTGAAACCAAGTGTTTAAACAATGAAAACTGTCCACTGCAGCCACTGTTTGTCTTTTTAAATTGGCCCACTTATTTACTTTATGTCTGATGTCCCTCCCCCCCCACACACATCCTCTTTGTGTTGAACTGTGCCTCCTCTTTCCTGCTCAAACCACCCAATCAGCTGGCTTTTTGGACTCCATAGTATCTGAGCAGGCTGGATTTCCATAACTTTCCCTCAGGTCTGCCAAAAACAATGCAAACGCAGGCCTTTTGGTCACATTTACTTTCCTTGTGGAAATTTGTTTTGCAACACGAATTCACAAAATAAGGGAATGGAAATGGGGGGAAATCACTGCAATCATGTGCTCTTAATAGCAGTGGCTTCAATTCCTCACCTCACCTGGGACCCGGCTACTTTGCATTGTCAGTAGTTATTTTGCCTGTGGCTGCTTGAAGCCGCTTCCTGTGTGAGCGTGGGTACAAGACGTGAAGACGTGCCTGTTATAAATGACAAACATGGCCTGAGTCGTACCTGAGATCTTACTCATTTTCATGAGACTGCCACGCCTATTTTTCTTTTTTACTGACTGATGATTGTTTTGACAGATTTAGGTTTGTGAACCAAGCAGTAATGCAAAAACTAAAATACAGATTTATATACTTCCAAATACTTCTTTTATAGTTCTATAAAAAGAATTACTTACTCAGTTGAGGGAACTTCCTCTCTGATGGACTATTGAAACATCTTCACTGCATTTAAACCAGTTTGATGCCAGAACATAAATATTTGTAACTTTCTGTTACGCCAACATCAGTACCTATCATGAGCCGCTTGTTTTTGATGAAGGAAAGACTCATCACGCAAAGTCATCCAACACCACTCCATGATCCAGGGTGAAGGGAGAGACACACTACACTGGAAATACAGGCTTCAAAATAGGCTACACCTATGATTACTTCACACAAGTTAGAAAATGTTGATTATTGAAACACAACTCACTGAAAATCATGGGCTCAATCAGCCTTAATGAATAAATATGATTATGAAATAGGTTGTTCCAGAGCTTTCTAGGTTTGGACACATGGGCTGTCTGCATCACAGCTCCACATGTGAAAGAACTTTGAGGAATTGAAACTTGATTGCAAGCTCTTCATAAAAGAGGAAAAGGGGACACATGAAGTTCTGTTAACAACTAGAAATCAGTCAGAACATAGCTGAAGCAGTAATCACAAGGTACAGAATAGGCCACTAGTCGAGCTCGGATGTCTTTCCTACTACCACAATGTCACTGACCGAGTGCTTGCACAATCTGACCCTTGTGCTTCAGGCTTGGCAGGAGGATTATCAGAGGGAGAAAAACACTTTCTATGACAGAGCATGAAAGTGACTGCATAATGTTATTCTCTTCAGATCAGCGGTCCCCAACCCATCTTTTTGTACCGATACTGGTTTTATTTTGCTGTATTTATCCACAACACCTTAAAGGCCGGTCCGTGAAAATGTTGTCGGACATAAACCGGTCCATGGCGCAAAAAAAGGTTGGTGACCGCTGCTTTAGATGACATCCAAGAATTTAAAAAATGCAATGAATATAAAAAGAAGCCTGAGGAGTATTGGAAAAGTCTGGATTTATGGATGGTTACAGGTATGCCTGTTAGGAATACCAAAAATACTGGGTGACAACTTGCCTGCCTGGCTGCAGACAACTAACAGAGGAAGTAGACTGTAGCAGAATGGACACATGTTACCTCACTCAAATCCAGTAGCAAACACCTTTGGGGTGTTTTAAAGAGAAACAGAGGACAAAAAAAGAGCTTAAAATGTGCCCGAAGAACAGCAGAACATCCCCAGAGAAATTTGTGCAACAAATTTTGAGCTTGTCATCAATAATAATAATAATAATAATAATAATAATAATAATAATAATAAACACATGAAATAAATAAATATCAGTAATGAAAGTTTAGCTGGTCTTTGTTGGACTAACTTCCCACCTTAGCTGTGTGACTGTGTTTGATTTAGGGTCACTGTGGAGATCAGCATCCATATAATGAAGTGCTGCAGACCTTTATAAGGCAACATTTATAAAATAAAATATTTAGAAAATAAAAGTGCTGTCAGTACTAGGACTACTTTTTTCCCTTTGTTTTACATAAAGACAGAGTACCCTTCTATTTAGCTGTAACCAAATATATTTTTTTATTAATCTGACATGTAACAGATATTGCATAGTGATATACTGAATATCTGAGATTGATAGTTTCAAATCCTAGATGGGTAAAATTTATGTTATTATATTAGCATAGGAGGATAAAACAAACTTTCCTGTAGGAGACCATCTACAGGTACATGTACAGCTAGGCCAAGCGGCATCTCGTTATGCTTACCTGAAAGAGGCGTGTGACGACATGGACATAGGAGCCGGCAGCGGCCACAAACATACAAACTGCCAAGCTTGAGTACACATTCTTCAAGTGCACCTGGGTGGAATGAGATCTGCAGGAAGAGGGATAATACATGAACGAGGCATGAGTGATGAAAGGGCAAGTTAAAAAGCAGACCATGACGACCGTTTCATTACCACATGAATTGTTTACGTACATTTGGGAGAACTTGAAGAGGGCATCAATGTTGATGCTGCGGTCAAACACGTTCATGGTGAAATCAGGGACTGAGATCTGATGAGACTTCTGATGAAACGCTGTCTTCTCTTAACAGATATGAACGTAAATTAAACTGCTGCTCCACTTAAAACAGTAAGAGTAAAAACTCCTCTATCATGATGACTGTAAGCCTGGAGCAGGTAGTACAAGTGCAACCATTTGTTAATGATTAGTGGAAAGAAACTGGGTATATCTTTGCAGTTTTCTCTGAATGTTTAAATAGTAACGGTGATTACTGATGCCACTAACACTTGCAGCCAAAATATTCACCAAGTGTGCCAAACCCTTCTCCTCTTTACACTCAGTTTCTAATTTTATAACACAACTTACTTCTTCACACTCAGACACAGCACCCCAGTACTTTTCTCGCTGCCTACAACAAGGCAACACAGCATGCAATGTGCTATTCCGAAACCTGTAAGGATTGGGAGATTTAGCTCAATTGTGTAGGTGCACTTTTGTTTTTGAGGAGATTAAGAATGCATTTACTAAGATCAGTTTTAAAAGGTATTTTTATGCGCAGAATACCACACTTTGTTCTTCTTTTAATTAAAAACTTGAATGTAATCTTCTTGGGCCTTCATACACAAAACTACTACTACACCGTAAAAGCACAAGAATGCCAACAATTGTGCACGCTTGTTTAAATGACTACATAATTTTAATATTTCTAAATAATGTGACTCACATGGGTATTTATCCATTATTATTTCAGTTGTGATACTGTGTTACATTTTTATTCATAATTATGATCAGTTTATTAGATAAAGTACATTTTGGTCTCAGATTTTAATGCATTTTATCCATTCTTTCCTTATGTCATGCATTTCCCAAGTTTCACTTGATGTACTCTTACTGCATTTACAGGCTACTGTAAATGTTATTTTGCAGTAACCTACATGAATGGTGCAATCAGTCTAACTGTAACTGTGGTGTATGGGGCACAGATATGCTAAAAAAGCTGAGATAGCTAAACTGCAGCACATCAGTTTCATGCTCTGTGTAGGAACTGTGTTAAAGTGCATCACACCTATCAAGTAAAATTACATTTAAAAATGTTAAATCTGTCAAACTGTGCAGTGTATAGGACACATGACAAAAACCTGATCAGTCTCAAAACAAAGTGAGAGATATGTGTTGTGTACAATTTCTCTTACTTTTCTTAAAAAAAAATACTTCAGATATCCATATTTATATTTTCTTCTAGTAGTTTTAGTAGTTATAAGTTTAATTTGTTAAACTAAGGTTTTGTGAAGATCCTTTAAAATTAAAAAGCACCTCAGAATATTGCTTTATGTTTACATTCTCATACCCTTAAGTTCGTGTGTTTTCTCTCTCTTTAGCAATGCACAATCAGTATAAGATAGCACAGCACAACATTCTTAAATTAAGCTTACCCTAACTTTTTGAACCAACAAATTAGCATTTTTAAATATTGCCAACTTATTGAGTTTAAAACTTAATATCTGGTTGCTTGCATGTAATGCACTGGTGCAAAAGCATAATTATTTCAGTTTCACAAAAGTAATTTGCTTTTTGAAAAGAGCTGTGTATCGTGAAGCTGTTGTCGGTGTCTAAAGTTGTAGAGAAACAACTCAAAGTTTTAATGAAAGTGACTGAGCAACTCAGAGTGAGGTATGTACCTTTACATTGCAGCAATTTCAACAGCTATACAAGCGTCTCACACTAAAATTTCATACATAGGGCGATTTCGTTATCACTATAACATGAATAGTAACATTAGAACAATGACAAGGGCCTTTCTACGAACCCCATACTCTTTATTTTCCAGCAAATCTAAACCTTTAATTTAGCAACTGGGAGTCTAAGCTATGAAAATAATGTGATTCTTACTTTCATTATTAAGGAAATTCACACAGAAGATTAGAAGTGCGTAGTCTACTTTGATGAAGTTACACAACAGGTTAGCTTTAAATGTCAAGCTTTATGCCATAACTAGCACACAAACATGCTAACAACCTGTTTAGTAGTCGCCATGCCTCCGATTCGGGAAGCATGGTGACTGCTTGAACTACTTATTCTTACAGAAATACGAGAATAAGCCATTCGACACGATAGCTGAGCACCAGACAGCCAAAAAGCAGACGCCTGGGAATGTATTAATAGCTAACGCTGCTAGCCAGTACCCGTCAAATAACAAGAAGCCTGGCGAGCTAACGACACAGTTCGACGTCTCCCTTCTTTCTTCGGTTATTTTCAGCCCCAGTTAACACGACAAAACGATAAGCACAAAACGGTTGCATTTGTACCTGCATATTACTTACCTCTCTGTTACGAGCTGTTTCCTTTTCTCTGCTTTACAGTTAAGTTTTTTTCTAAAACAAAACCGTACGTGTCAGCTCACGGCAGCCTGCTGATGTCACCATGGAAACGCCCAGAAGATTGTAGTCCAGTCACGCGCAGCGAGGTCGAAAGTACGACAAATCACCGGCTATCTAATGCGATTTAATGAGCCAACTAGCTGTTTGTAATTATGAATTCTTTTTTCCAAAAACATTAAACGTTACAAGTTATTTTCTCTTCACTTTCGAATAACATTTATATTATGCTGCACTGCCTGGTTTGTCATCGAAGAATGTCACCGGTGCACCTAAAATGGCCGACACAAAATGTAACTGATATCATCAGCAAAGCGTCTTTAGTGCTGTAAAAACAACGTTTGTTTGATCACAAAATAAACGCTGTAAAGAAACCACTTAACCGTCTCAACGGTTTCTAATCAAACCGAAATAAGGAGGATATAAGAGTGTAAATATAAGTTCGATGATATGACCGAGATATCAGTCATGACGAATGGTGCAACTGCATGCAACATGTGAAATGTTTTCACTTATGTTTTAGTCATTATACCAAAAGTAGCCTATGCAATTATAGTTTATAATGACAAAAATATAGCACTTTGTATTGTATAAGTTACTTAGTTGTTAAGCTCTGCAAAAGAAAAGAAAAATGTGCAAAAAATGTGTTTCTTTATGGTTACATCTTAAATATTTATTAAATTTAATACTTGAAGTAGCTTCCACTAAACATTAATTTTGGTCAATGAAATGTTTCGACGTGTAAATTAGTTCCCAATTAAGCTTTAAATTCTTTCTTTCGCTTTATCCATTTAAGAAAAATCCTAAATTAAATAGTCCACAAAAGCCTGTATCATCTTTATTATGTTATTTCTTTTTAAGTACGAATTGTACGATGGTCGTTTTTTAGAACTCTAAACGAGTAAACAAATTATTCTCTGCTCTGAAATGAAGTTAAAAAAAAGACAAAAAAGAGTAATTTGGTTCCCAAATGTTTCCCTAAAAACAGCACCTTAGTAAAGTTGGTCAAAAAAGTACTATATACTGTACAAACATGTAATTTTTCTTTCATTAGATGTAAAAACTTAATCAAATATTTAAAGATATTTAATACACTACAGTGATTTTCTTTGTAACATGGCATAAAACACACATACGCAAAGGTAGTAAAATAGAACCAATTTTTATTTGAAAATAAAACCTATTTGAAAATAAAAATTGGTAGCAGGTCTTTTAGAGTTTTGGTCAGACCAGGTAGAGAAAAATTTAGTTCTGGATTTATTCTCATACAAAGACAAATTGTGACTTTAAACAAATACTTTTGGTCATCACAACTGGTTTCAATATTCTCATTGTCATGTTTCACTAGTTGACATGCAGACATAAAACATCATAGAAAAAAAACCATTCAACCCCCCCCCCAAAAAAAAAAACAAAACCTCTCAAAATCTCTGTGGTACTGGATTTCAAATGTATGTTTGCTTGAATGATTGAATCTCTTTACATCCGATCGCCGATTTAACTGTAAGGTTTTGTATAGTTAATTCTGACAGCAAAACGTGCATGATTTAGGCACAGATAAAACAGTTAAACACAAGGCCAGCCTCAAAACAGGCAAACGGATTACAATACACAGGGTTGAGCATTATGAAGTACTGGACACGAGTTTTTGGCCAATAAATATAGAAAAAGACACGTTTAAAAAAAAAGAAAAAGAAAAAAAAAAGAAACCCAAATATATCAAATTTGATATTTTCAAGTGTTGCACTGCAAGTACCGCAGCCCCTGGCATTAAACTTGCTCCTGACAGTGTTTTCTCACGCTCAGCATGACACATCAGTGTGTATGCCTACAAATCTCTGTTCAGGCAAAACACCATTCTGTCCTAATTTCAAAAGGCACAGCTTTTACTTACAGCACTGTCAATATAAAAGTGCAAGTTGTTTGCCATTGAGCAATAGAAGAATTATAGTAACAAATGAAATATTAAGCTATGACTTAAAACTGTGGCATTTAGAAATAAATGTGTCCTATGAAAAACAAATAATTAAAAAAAATAATAATTCCAGTGTCTGTTTTTTAAAGGACCAAAAACGAGATTTCACCCCATTTATCCAACTTTATAACCAATAGTATCAAATGTCAATTTGACCACTTAGGATTTATATTGCATGTTATGTAGAAACCACTTTCATGATACAAATGACTAAATACACTTGTTTTGACACCCATTTATAGTTAAATAAGGCTACAGTAATGTCTGCTTGACTGGCGACGCAAGAGGTACTGTCCATGTGATCACAGAACTGGGTTGCATAGAGGAACCGCGCTGACCGTTTAAAAATAGATTTCCTTATAAAACAGCCTATTAAAATGAAAGGTATAAAATCGTTTATTAGAAAAGGTGTTTTTGTTGTTCCATACAAGGCACAATTAACAAAAAACAATGTCCAAAAGTCAAGTCAGGACAGGCAGGCTTCTGCTTTGGCAAAAGAACCCCTTTAAAATTCATACCAACTGAGTGATTGTGATGGGAGTGCTTTGGTTGGTGTTTTTTTGTTGTTTGCAGCTCTGTCGTGGTGCTTAAAAGTAGTGATTTGTGATTATTGTCAGCACTGTGGATCAGAGGAGAGGCCTCACTTTGTGACATACACTTTCAATTGAGCCAACAATCTTTCCCCAGGCTTAGAATTTCCTTGACCTCATACCAATGCAGTTTTCTAAACAGAAGGATTGTGCGCAGGCAAAGAGAACAGTCTGGAAACTTATGTCTATGTTCTGAATACATGTGGCTATTTTAGTCAACTTTAGCGCTGCTGCTCCCGTTGGAGTCGAGCAGGTCTGTTGAAAGCTATTGTCCACGAAGCTGGTCCAGCCGGGTGTAAACGTTATCAGCTTGGCTAAGATCTTCAAACACAGGAAGAAGGTTTAGCAGCTCAGCATCATCCACGTCGTCAAACCACGACACCACCGGAATCTGGGGCAAAGAAACACTCGATTATATAAGGTGCATCTACCCTAGCTAAGCGTGCACCAAGTAAACACAAAGCCAATTCAACCCTTCCTTAACAGCAACCTATGATAACTAAAGTAATTTTACCTTTTGTTTCAGGAAAAAGAGATCTAAAGACAAGTGTTTAGTTTGGCGGTTTTACATCATATTGGTCAGGAAAACCTTTTCCTAGTACAGACAGATTCATAATTTGTTGGCTTGATTGATCAAATACAGCCAATTCACTTCTGTGGTTCAAGTTCTCAGACAGCTAAATTTGACACATACAACCAACTAAGTCCTTTATGAAAGGCAGTGTGCACCAGATTTGCAGAGACTGGTCCAAACTCACAGCATTATTTGGGTGGAATATGTAAGAGGCAGGAGAGTTGTCCAGGATGAGGGTTTTGTGGAGGTCTCTGCCTAGGCGGCTTAAATCCTTGACATAGCAGCCCTGGTGGAATACACAAGATTCCCGAAACAACCGGGTCCGGAATACTCCTCCCTGGTCCAGCAGGTCCGTCACCGGGTCTGCGTACTGGTGGGAGGATTGGGTAGCAGGTGAGGGAAGAGCAGGGATGTACAAGGCTGGGCTAAGCTGTCCCAAGCTGCTACAGAATATTAAGCTGGGACACAGCTGGCACTAAGACTTTAAGAAGAGTTGTGTATAAACTGACACCCATCTATTCCTTTAAGCATGGAGGGTGTGGGTGTTCACTAAGGTGTCTACCAGCACGTTAGAGTAAGAGAGGGAACTAAAAAGGTGAGAGAAAGCAGATCTGATAGATCAGACATCAGCTAAACAAAGATCTTCATGTTTTATTCCAGCATCTAATTTCAGGATCACTGTCAGTATCTGATGTGAAGTACCTTAGCGAGACTGGCTGTAAACAGCACACATTCAAACAATTCGCCCATTCTCTGCAGGAACTCGTCCACATACGGCCTCTTCAGCACATACACCTGAAAGGGAAGCAAGAGGTTGGTGAACAGCTCAACAAACATGATTGTCATTTAACCAAATACTGCCAATGAAGCTTAAAGTATATTTAAAAAAAAAAAAAAAAAAATTTTAGTGCTCAAGAGGTCTAGGACAAGGCTTTTTTTGTAAAGTAGAGCTTAGAATATGTTAAGTCTTATAAAAATAATTATGCCTCAGCTTGATTTCACACAAGTTTTTAAAACTAACTGGGAAACAGGATAAGGAAGCTATCACCTTTAAACAATACACTATCAAGACAGGAAGCTGAAACAAATGCAGACTTAGCACAAGATAAAGAGAAATATGCCAATCCTAAAGATATCCAATACATGGAGAACACTTTAAAGAGAAGGTAGTTATTAGTCTTCCAGACACTACAGATAATTGGTAAGATCAGTGCAGCAATAACTTCTTAAACTGGCAGCTTGCTTTGGGATCTTGTAAGTGTTCAAGTGGAAATAAAAGTACACAACATACAATTTAAATTAAACAAAAAAAGTGCATCTCTCACTTCTGAAAGATTCTGTGCCATGTCCATTATCAATGCAGTTGCAAGATCAACTAGTCTGTAAAGCGTGAAGGTTTAATAGGGATTTCCATGTTTTTGTTCATCTGCACGATTCATTTCCATCCGTCAGCTGCTAATGGCCAGTTCCTGAAACAAGTAATCAAGAATAGGCCGTGCAGTGTTAACCAGCCTATCCTGGATTACTTGAACCAGGCAGAGGCCCACAGGATTCCTTACCATCACACGGGGTTGCTCGAATCACATTTCTTAGTTAATATTTCCACACGTCCAACTTTAAGACCTTGTGCCCCAAAGATCAACACAATGCTATACTTGTGTATTCATTTCAAAATCTTCCTTGCAGAGGCACTGTATCAATTATTAATGACATTTTAGCTGAAATGACTCATTTTCCTGCTGATGCATCCACTTTGACTTGTGCAGTCTTGTTCAAATTCTGGCCACTAGAGGGCTCTGTTTAACCATCTTAAAACAAAACAAAAAAAAAAAAAAAGAAAAAACTTAACTGACCCATCCCTTTTCAGCTCAGCAACCACTGCAAACACATCAACATACATACACCCCCCCACCCCCTTACAGGAAAGGCACTCGTACAGAGTAGTTTACCTGGTGTGTGGTCCCCTCTATCTCCACAGGCACGATGAAGTCTGCATTACTAATAGGCTGGAGGGAGAACACAGAGGGAGATGGTTGGCATGCTCATTCACATGAGCCACGCTGTGTACATTCACATGGCATTACATAACAGCTGAACAGCAAGAACCAGGCTCTTCATCGCTGCCATAAATCACAGCACATAGGCTACACAAATAGAATATGACTCGCTTTGATGTTCCTCAAACACATGCGACGACTTTTCTAAGAGAAACAAAGAATCGCAGCAGAAACACGCCCAATAAACAGGCGGTCGTTTAATCAATGTTACCCAAATACAACTGTCATTTCTGCAGGAAGGAAAAGCTGAAACATCAAATCACCAACTGACATGGGTAAACATGCTGAAATAATGTTGGGCCGGTGTTAGCGGTACCTTGAATGAGCTGTGCACCAGGGTCTCATCCAGGTCTATGACCACACACAGCTTCCCTTGGTCCTGGGCCGTCACCTCAGGCAGCAGGTTTGGTTCAGATAGCTAAAGAAATGCATGTAGACTGTCATATTCATCATTACACTTGAGAAACACAAAGTAGCCAACAGGGCATTGAGTTATATGGAAAACCTGAAAGCTTGGTCTGGATTTTTACCTCTGGGGAAATTCGATTATACTGGTTTTTGTTAAGCATGCATGTGTGGAAGTTTAAGGATTTACTGTAACAGCCTCTGTGTGGTATAGCTTTATGATTAGCATGTGTCTTTTTTGCAGTATTTCTCCAATGCATCTTGTCAAACTCAACAGGAATTCACCTGCAGGGGAAAACGATAACCTTGATTCAAACTCATTTTCAGATAGCCAGCCCCCCCCACACACACACTCTTAGTTTTGTTTCATTCCAGCCTCTTTATGAGAAGAGGCAAAGTGAAATTAATTATTAATTTTATTACATAACAGAAATGGCTTATCTATTACAGATGGCAAATTAAGATCGAGGAAAGACTATGCTGGGGAGGGGGTGCTGGGAGACTGCTAGAGCAATTTTGTTCAACTAAACACAAGAAACCAAATGAAACAAAGCTAGCGGTGCCAAATGTTTAATTTTGTTTCATATCAGTAGGAGCCTGGCAGACAATAACCAGGGTCCTACAGATGCTGCTTGCTCCTGATGCTGGAGGACACTCCTCAACATGAACAAACATGGCATCTCATTAAAATACCCCTAACATGGTGGTGAAGCCCTAATCAAGCTGACAGCGCTCACCAGCGTGGCCAGCAAGCGCTCTGAGCTTTATTTTATTTTTTTTCCCCTCCACCTCAGCAATTATGAGGAACACAATACACCGATTCTCTGCCTGCTCATGCCTGCCTAAAGGACTGATAGTCACTCTCTCATTTCTTATCTTCCTTCGGGGGGGTGGGGGGATAAAGCGAGAACATCAAAGTGATTCCATATCCACAGACAGTTGCGGTTAGCTTTCAAGACGTTTAGAGCAGGTGCAGCGGTGGTTTTAGTTGTAAAAAGACGACAACAATAATAAGTGCAGTTTTACAACAGCGTGTTAAGTTTATCCGTACAGATGGCTAAACTATTCACACACCTCTTTTCTGGCAAGCAGTGTGTGTGTGTCTGTGTGTGGGTGTGTGCAACAAGGAAGTAAGATCTTAAATAAACAAAAGTAAAGGCAGGGGCTGAAGCTGAGGTCTTCAAATTGATTTCAGCTGTGCGGAAATATCTCTGAAATGCGAATACTGTTACCTTGACAACCATCCCATTTTCCTGTGACTCCAGCAATCCCTGCTGGGAGGGTGATGGCGGCGGTGGCGGCGGCGGCAGTGCTGGTGATTTGGGGCCATCCTGAGCTTGGAGGCAACAGAAAAGCGCTTTGAAGATGTTGCAACTCCGCGGCTGTTTCAGGGCAGACCGGCTCACCTGGCCTGCCGGGAGCAGAGACACAAACACGCTTCATGAGGAAACAGCAGCACTCAACAGAACCAGTGCTCCCAATGTTTGTGGACCAATAAAAAGGTATGTGGAGCAAGCTGATTGGCCAGCTACTGCATTTCCACAAATTGAGTTCACCTGTGAAACAAATTGGCTAAAATGAACCCTCACGAGGAGGACTTTTTTCTTCCAGTTGGTGTTTTTACATGAAAATGTCCACAAAGATAGTTTTAACTTGATGTGTTTTACGCAGCGATGGCACAACTACATCCAGAGGAAGATAAAATGAAGGCTGCCTGTTCGTTTGCAAAGATTTCTTGTAAACTTAAAAGATGACAAAAAGCCTCCCTGTGAGTGTGTTTAAAGAGGGAAGTGCCCTTTGCTAACAAAACATTTATTTTAAAGTTTTATTTATTAATTATTTTGCAAATTTAGATTAAAAACTAGCAATAACTAATTTTGCGTTTTTGGGGTTGGGCTAGTAAAATTTTCATCTCTACTGGTAAAAAAATGTAATGTCGGACACTCACTGAAACTGTGTGTCGTCAACATGGGAAACATGGTGAGTGGAGGCCTGAATTACAGCCCACAACTTGGGTCAGATACATGTTATCTAATCTTTTTTCTTATACCAAAATGAAATCTTGATGCAAACACATTGAAATGTTTTCTTGTTTGTTTTTTCCTCTTTATCCATAAAAGATAATTAGGCAGGAGCTGCTTGTGACACACAGATTGAGTTTCTCTAATTCCTGAAGGTACCATCCATCTGTCCACAGGGATGGCACAGCCTCCACATGAAATCTGTTTTTAATGCCTCTGCTGCTGCTGCTGTTGCTGCTGCTGCTGGAAATGGCTGGTACATGTTATATAATCACAGAGGGCGGGAAAACCCACACTTTTCAGCAGTACCTTTCGACAGACAGAAAACATTCCAACCATTTTAAACTCGGGGACCTTTCGGGGCTGCCTGAAGCGAGCCAGAACAGCCAGACAGGCAGCTGGTCGGGCAGTCAGGCAGCCAGCGAGTCGGACAGGCAGTCACACCTCAGTGCTCTGTGCAGGTCTTTGATCAGCCACTGTGACCACCAGCGTCCCAGCCTCAAAAAAGACTTGTGCCACCGCCAGTGTAAGAAAAGGGAGGAAAAACATCCCTGTGATTCCCCTCTAGTGCATTTCATGTGAGGACTTGCAGAATTTTTACCCATCAAAATAGTTCATAAACACTCTCTAGTCCCTGCTAGAAAGAGGAAGTGTGGAAAAGAGTGACAAACAACTGCATACTCAGAGATTTATACATTTATTACTTCTACACTCTGAAGACATAATGCAGACAACAACAAGCATGTTACACAACTCCATGTTTAGGAGACAAAGGACACTGGATCTTGATTTGGTAATTCTGCACACAGCATTTTCACTGGGAAAAACTACAACCTCCATTATTTATAGCCCACGAATGTGCATCTTGCCATGCAAATCAGCCTATTGATTTCCACAGGAAGACATTATTGGCCATGTGTGACATAACAGCATACATTAGATCTCCTCTGCATGTAAAAGGATGGAGAGATGAGAAGAAGGAGATTAATCTTTTAGAGCTTTATGAATGGCGCACACACACACACACACACACACGGATCCAAAATCCAAAACATCCCTTAATCTCACAAAACACGCAATGCAAAATGACATTAATAATAAGAATAATGCTGAAGAATTATTTTGTAAAACCAACACATGACCTGGAGCACTACAGACCTGTAATAACTACAACCAAGAGGCTGAATCAACGAGCAAAGCCTCTTTCAAGCGCAAGCAAAGTGTGCAAACAACGAAATCTTTGAAACGGCGCTACAACGGGCGTGTGCAGAGGGGTGTGTTTGTGCATTCCGCTGTCAATACCGCGGCACCGGGTATTTCTATACAATCCTGCTGTATAATCAGCAGCCCTTAAAGCTCTCTTGGCCTGTAACATACAGCATGGTGTAATACAAATCCCACTCGGGCTGTTTTGTCAAATGAAACGATAAAATTAAAAATAAATAAATAAAAAAAGAGCAGCGCAGCATTATTTCGTGAAGCCACCGACGGCGCACGGATATGTGACCACCATGGTCAATTAACAAAAACACGAAGAGTAGTTTGTGAAGACTGAAAAACACCGAGCTGTAAGTGCTGCCTGTGGTGACAGTCAGGCAGGGCTCCCCGTGTTCTCTCGACCTGGTGTTGGTGGTAGTAGTAGAAGGATATGGGATGTTGCCAAACGAGCTGGAACCCGATAGATATAAATACAGCAGCTCGTTTTTTATTTTGGAAAAGCTGGGCATGGCAACGACACCGAGAACAACTTGGGGGGTAAAAAAAATACACCAGAAAGATGGGTTTGCACAACAAGAGCACACACACTGCCAAAGAAAAAGAGAGGCAAAAACTGGATCAACAATAGCTACTAAGCTCGGTGCGTAATGGAGACTGTGAACTTGTACCTGAGCCTACGTCCGATGCATTAATTCAGCTATAGTGACGGAGATTGAACTACACGGTGATCTGGCCCCCGATACAAAAACAAACACAGGGATTTATTCATATTCACGGTTTTATTTCCAAATTCAACAGCAGTCGATTGGTGGAGGAAAACAACAGGTTTGTGGCAAAACAGAATAAACACATTAAGATAGCTTTCGGCACGGTCTCTTTGTGTTTTCCAGCGAGAAGATGTAAAGATTACACTCTGCTCGGTGGTGGATGTCAAAAAAGGGTAATACGCCTCTCTTACCGCGCGTCCGCAGCGCGCAACTGTCAAATAAAAGGGCGCACTACGCGATTTCTTACCGCACTAATCACTTATAAGAAAACAGTACACATAAAAGAGAGTACTGGGAATATTTGGGATGTAAACAACACCCAATCTCACCTGTTTTCGGTGACACTTGGACGTCTTCTTTTTGCACTTGGGTGATAACAGAACTTTCCATCTGACAATCACGGAGCCCTCAAAATCCTCAAATCCTGTCCCCGAGTACTGATGGGCATCCCTCATTGGGTTTTATTGACAAGCTGACGTTATTATTCGCCGAGTTAACTTGTCATCCGCCTCAGTTACGATCCTCGATGGGAGTAGGATTTATCTTGTTCCTGGCTTTCTTTATTATTCTCCCGTCCGCCGCCTCTTCTTCTTCTTCTTCCCTCGGAGGGTCCGCCTGGGGAGGGGGCAAGGCACTTGGATATGTTCTTCGGACGCTATCTGAGACTCCGTGCGGCCCGTCTTGTCGGATGTGCCGATTGTATTGCTGGTAATATCGCAGAGAAGCCCCCCTCTCTTTTGAGAGTCCTCACTTTTGCAGCAACAACATGGAGAATCCAGGCGAGAGAAGGAAAACAACCGAGGAAATGGGGCAAGGGAGGGCGGTTTCAAGCCCCCCGTTACTACAGATAAACAACATCGCCCGAGAGGCCACTAGGAGCGACGGAAAACAGCGAGGATCGATCGCGTACGGAAGATCTAGCGCGGAAAAACGAATTCTGGTTCGTAGTTGGGTGTAAAACGAGAGTTTTGTTGTTATCCCAGGTTTTGTTTTTCTACGGTTGGGACTCCGCGGGCGCCTTGAAACGGTACCCGCGCCCTGATTGGACGCCAGGGAGGAGGGGAGGCGTGGTCAAGGCATTCCTCCCCGGCCAGCACGCGCCGCAGCGAACACATTCCAGTGCTGCTCGTACAACAAATGAGATCACGTTGTTTGTGAATTATTAACAAATAAATAAACGAATGCTGATGAACACAACTTAATCAAGAAACATGCGAGTGTACGAGGAATAAAAAAATTACACTCATTATTAAACTAAACACTAGGGACGCTATTTATTTATTTTGTTGTTTGTTCACGTGCATTATTCTAATTAAAACTAAATCAGAGGTGGCTGAAATTGTGATCATGTCCAAGTAATTATAGAAACCTTTATTTAGTCAGGGGCAAATCAATGTAAATTACATAAAATATAAATCATCTATAGTGTAACTATGCTCAGGTACTCTGAAATGTTGTTTGGCATCTCTCAGGGATAGAAATACAACCAAGAAAAGGACACAGAGATAAAATGTACATTACAGAAATGCCGAATAAAAGTTATGTATATATATATATAATAAAAAAGCAGATCAGTGTTTAAAAGTGGCTTTGCACAGTTCTGATACTAGCAGTCTGTCAAGATAAGGCTGTGAATATATGCAGAAATTTATTTCTACATTCAAACACACATATATGTAAGATTTAAAACAATTATAATAAAAAAAATCAAGAACAAGGTGACACAAAAGGAAAAGCAGGAGCATTCATTTTTATAAAACATCACAGAACATGAGCTTAAACATACAATGACATACTTGTCTCACCCAAGACCGCTTAATAATAACAGTCACAAGAGAGATATCTAAGGTAATGCATTGCTGTGCACTCTAACATAAACTTTAAAACCTTAAAAGTCATAATATATATACAAGAATGGCTTTGTAAATGGGGGCGGAAAAAAATAAGTATTTTTCTATTTGAATGATTCTTGTAGAAGGTACAATGATGGGTGACATCAAAGGGTTTAAGAGTGCTGGCACCTGCAGAGTCAGGGACTGGTGCACAACCTTCAATCTGCTGCCAAAAGATAGGTTGCTGCCTGAGAAACGAGCATGAGCTAACTTAACTTCCAGGCTTCTCATCAGTCTCTTACCATGAATTTTAAAAGATAATGATTCCTCTAAACCAGATGACCAGCTACCATTTTTTTAAATTATAGCCCAGAATAATAAACACACCCACCAGCACCTCAGCAAATACTGCTTTATCATTATTTTTAGTGTTTTTAATACTTGGATTTCTGCCTCTAATTTGCATTTTCCTCTGGCTTAACTTTTACTTTACCTCCCTAAATTCCTGGTTTTTCCAATGTCATAACCTCTGATTAGAAGAAAAAGAGTAGGAACAGCTCAGCACCGGGCTCACTGAAGGACATAAAAGTGATAAACACTAAACAAATACACAGGGAATCTGTGTTTGTAGCAGTAGTAAAACGTGAGCACATAAGAGTTTTTAAAGAACCCTGGCTGTAAGAAGATTCAAGTGTCTCTTTTCAAAAACAAAGTATTTTACAATTGTACAAGATTCATTTAAAAGTTGAAATAATCACCTTTAATCCATGTGACAGGAAGAGCTTTTCACCTTTCCCTTCATGGAGACGTGAAAGGCTTTGCTGGTAGAGATAGAACCCCATGCGGGAGTACATGGGAGAGCTTCATGTACGGAGGTAAGAGAGGGCAGAGTGAAACCAATGACCCAAGCTCCTTTCATTTTTCTCTTTCATTTCACTTCCTACTAAAATGAAACTTGTTTTTTTGCCTAAAACTGCTTGGGTGGAGGGGGGGGGGGCGGCCCCAGCCCTGGGAGCCACTGTGTTATGGCAATCACTGAACATTTGCGCAATAACGCACTCAGTCTGTACTGCAGTTACTGTACTTTAGCATGAGGCTGCTGCTCATAAACATTGCAGGATGGTTGCATCATATAGGAATAGAGTCGTGCAGCGTGGCATTTAATAAAGCTATCTGTCTTTACATCCACTTATTTATCCGGGAGGGAGGGGGAAAAAATCACAAACAGTTGTGGTTGTAGTTGTTTTTCATTTGAATAAGTTGCATTGAACTGCAGACAAATCCTGTGTGTTATATAATCATTTTCACTACACCGAGTATAGCGATTTTCTGAGCAGCTGGAACTAAAACACATTTGTTTGACCTTGCTCAAATAAACAGAAGTGGGTTTGACATGATGTTAGGCAATGTGGTCAACCATCGGGTCCCCAGATATTTATATTTACAGCATGGAGGTTCTGCAGAGTGCCTCCTCCTCATCCTCTGAAAGCTCAAAGACCTCTGAGTAAATCAAAGTGATCCTCTCCCCTGCAGCATACAGTAAGCAAATATGGTGTGAAATTAAGCAACAGCACATATCTGCTATATTTAACCACACGAAACACACATGTAAAGCACACTGAAAGCGGCACAGACCGTAAACCTGTAGGAAGAAACGAAGAAGCAGCTTGTTAATAAAAGGAATAACTACACAGCTGAGACGGTCCATTCCAAACACATGTGGGCCCATTATACCGCGAGCTCAGCCAGTGCCCACAGCGGCCACAATGCAAGACATAAACAAGAATGGCCCCGCTGTTTGCATTCCTGGTGTGGGACATTTTAAGGCAGCACTGACAGCTCGGTGTAAAAATATATACAAAACAAGTACGGGCCGCACAGCTGGAAAATGTCATGTGGTTTAAAGCTGATGCCACTGTTTACTAAATCAACTTGAAATTCATTATCAGTGCCTGCGTTCTGCTGCCCTCATCTTCTGGTACTCCTCTCCAAGACAGCAAAAGAGCAGCGGGGTCAGCAGCTGTTAAAAGGGCTAAGGGTTGAGGGGGTGCTGCAGGCGTAACCCTCCACCAATCTTCCAGTGCTCTAACAGGACCAAAGCGCAACCACTTAAGAGCAATAAGTGCACCCGTGCATTTTTTTTAAAGTCAACATGTGAAGCCATGTTAGTGTTTATTGCATTTTCTACCCCCCAGTGTGGAGCTTTTTGTTTACAATTCAATAACACAGTTAATGATTTTAATAATTGAAACTCATTAAAACAGCGAGTTCTGGTGAGCCACAGTGATAAAAACACTACGGTGCTTTCTACCATAACGAGGGTAATCAAAAGATTTGTCCAAAAACAAAAAAATCAATCAGTGACTTTTTAACCTCTAACACACTGGTTCTCAACCTTTTGGGGGCCGGGGACCAGGGCGTTCTTGGAAACATTTCCCAGAACCACCTTTTAATCCTGCTAGTATTTAAATTACTACGTGGGAATTATTTTTAGCCTTTCTACGTCAGACACGTGGCATAATGTGTCACAACATATCAGAGCTTCTGCTGGCTCATATTTGAAATGAGTGGGAGTAAAGGGCACAAGACATTTGTTTGGATGGTGTAAATGTTCACATCTTTGTGTTCTTTATTATATAATGAAGGTCAATTAACTAATTCAAAGCAAATGATTATTTTAGTAACATCAACTGTGTTCTAATATTGGCCAAAACGGTCGAGATAAATTGATGAAACTGTGAAGTTTTGTGTAAGTTTGATCATTTTTAAATGCAGGTTTTCAGCATTAAAACTGAATGATTTTGGTTTAACACCAGAGATGTATCTACTGGGAAGGCAAAGACTGCTTCATGGCTACGAACCCAGACCCCACTTTGAGAATGAGAACCACTGCTCTAACAGCAACGTAACTGGAAATATAAAAGACAAACACACAATAAAGAAGCTCGATGCATCAGCTTTAGATTGGATGAAACACATCACTGAATTTCCATCAAGTAGGGCTGTCACAATAATGGATTTTCAATTAACAATTATTGTCAGACTGAATCAATATTATTGCAATATATATACAGAGAGAAAAATAGCTACAATGTTAATCTATGGCAAATAACTTCAACTTAAAATAAGTGCAAAGACTACAAAAGGAGAGTCTATAACCATCGCTGTGGAAATGGCACACAAAAAAAAACAATTATTATCACATGTGCATTATTGACACTCTATCAATATTACATTTTTAAATATCATGGTGAGCATAATCAAATACTAAAATATATTTTTTTAATCTCTGCAAAACTGTTCATCAAGTTTATTTTGGCATTAAGGCCAACAACATAAAAATAAATGACATAACTGACTTTGTAGAACACACACACACACACACACACACACACACACACACACACACACTGTCCTTTAGATGTTGTGTTTCTACTTCAAAAATGTCACACCTGGGGATGCACGGAGTCTACTTACAGCCTCATGCACTCTGCCATGCATTAAAATGCATTAAAGCCGCATCCAATCATGCTGATGACAAACTGGCTGCTGAAATGTTCTTGCAGCATCTGAGCCTCATGTAGAGCTATGACTGTAGGGTCAAATCATGTGATTTGCTGGAAGAGCCCCCCCACCCCACCCTCCCACCTCACAGGCCTGCCCCTGAGTGGCCTCTGCTAGGCTATGTTTCCAGGAAAGGGGCCTACTGGACAGGCTGTGAGGCCTAGGCAGGGAGACATTGGCTCATTGAGAAAAACAAAAACAGAGAGGGGCGGTGGGAAGACTCTCCCCTCTTACATAAGTCTGCCTCCATGACAGGGAGAGAGAGAGAGAGAGAGAAGGAAAAAAAAAAAGTTCCCCGCCACAATGCAAAGAAAAACCTGTTCATCCGCCTCAGCTCAGCTCGCAAAGCCCAAGCACTTCAGCACTGGAATTCAAACAGTGAAACAAGCAGTGTTTGGCTCTCAGTTGCACAATAAGTTGCAACTCTTCTGACATACCACCGCAGGCATGTGCAGCAGCAGCAGCAGCGAGTCTCAGCGCTCAGCAGTCATTTAGTCTCACACAGTAACGCTGCTTTTGGTGACTGCACATGGGCATGATGTAAGCCTGCATGTCCTTTAATGTGTTATGCTGTAAGCTGTGGTAGTGAAATGTTTACTGTAAATGAGAAGTCTCTCCTGAAGCCTGCAACACCTCCCTGTGGCTGAAAGAGAAACTGCAGTTTGAATTCAATTAGCTCAAAATACAAAAAATGTAACCAAACCAAAAAATGTTTGTTTACTGTATTTCTTGGATTGAAGCGGTCTTTAGCGTTTGTAAGTGAACTTCCAGAAAACTTTGTTTTTGCACACTTCTAGCGCCGTTTAAGAACAAAAATTGAGTCTGTTTATTAATGACTTACACGTTATTCTCCTGTTTAATTATATTAGTGCAATTTTAGCTGATTTTGTTACTTCATTTATTTTTATATTTCTTTTTTTCATCATGTCTTAACACCTCTACGATAAATTCAGCTTCTTCAGACGTTTAAGGTCTAATTTTGTCATCTCAGTTGTTCACATTGGAAGTCTGCACTGTTGCTTTTCTGAGCATAACATCCTGGATCCTTCCTCAGCGGCTCTTCCTGACCTCTTTTTTTCTTTAGCGACTTCCTGCATTTGGGGAAGTTTCTCCTTATCTCTGCTGCATGTCAGAAGATTCCGTATGCTGCTGAGATTCTGAAGCTTCTTGAGCAAATGTGTGATAGTGAGCTGTAAAAATAAAATATGTCTGCTGAAATCCAGCACGTCACTGCCTTGTTGTTGAAAGGCATTTTTGAAGACATGAATTTGTCTTTAAAACTTTAAAACTCCCTCCTGAACATGAAACCACTGATTTTAAAAGCCTGGGTATCATTTGTAAATCTTCTTCACAGGGATTCAGTCTGTTTGGTTTCTTAAAAAAGTCCTGACATGTTTTCTGTCATATTAAGTCCTTCAAAAAATGATTATAAACATCAGACGTCTGTAAACCTGTCAATCTTTAAAATTCACCTAAGCTTTTCACAATCAGCATGTTACCTTTTAATAAAGTTACAGTGACAAATAAATTTGTTTCTTCATTACTAAAAAAAAAAAAATCTGTACAGCACCAACCAAACGTCAAAGTTCATCTGAAAGTCAACAAACGTCTCGTATAAATAACTTGGGACTAAATAAGACTTCATCTGGAGCTAAACACAGTCAGTCAGGTTGTCCACAGATGCACCTTTGACGCGAATGTCATGAGTCAAACTCAGGCTGCCGCTGGATCAGGATGGTCGTGTCGTTCCCTCTCCTGGTGCTCGGATCGAGCCAGGACACCCCCAGAGCGATCAGACATAACCACACCTGCAGCACAAAAAAAGACAGAATAAAAAAA